TATTGATATATTTTTTGCTATTTTGTGCTGAACATATCTGATATGAGATTTCCAGGAGAATTTGTCATCAACTATGACACCTAGAAATTTAATTTCATATACTCGTTCTATATTAGCTCCCCCAATTTTCAATTGAAGTTCATTATCTAGTCTATGATTCCCTAATTTAGTTTTATCCAAATTCAGAGATAGTATATTACTATCACACCATTTCTTTATCTGCTCAAGGTCCTGTGAAACCCGTCCAAAAAGTTGCTGTAGGTTTTCACCCGATGCCCATATGGTAGTGTCATCAGCAAACAAAACCACTTTCACTAAATCAGAAACCTTGCATATATCATTAATGTATAATATAAATAATTTAGGTCCCAAAACAGAACCCTGAGGCACTCCACATACAATATCCAGCTCACTCGATTGGTATTCACCCCACTTCACAAATTGACGCCTCTGTGTCAAATACCTTTTAAATTTTAGTGGCATAATTAGAGAAAAACAAAATAAGCATGATTTTGTGTAAAGGGATTTTGCTTTTCTCATTTTTTCCCCCCACTGGAACTCATTTTGCATCCCCTTATAATCATCCCACAACAAAATAGGTAAACACTGGCCTAGAACATGCAAATTACCAGTACGTTGCTTTAAATCAGTTTGAGAGGTGACGTCCAATATAACCATGCAGTTATAATTAACCAAAAATATACTTCTGTGTTCACAGGTACAAAAAGTTCTCCAGGAACACACCAAACAGGGAGAAGTCGTCTTACTGGTTTACAGAGGAGGTCAATTATTCACATTCATTGTAAAGAGTGATTTTTAGTAACTGACACATTTTTGTCACTGTGGCTAAATCACCTCACAGTTATTTTATCTCTCATTAACAGGTATCTATCATCCAACCACCTCTCCTGGCTCCGTTAAGAGACTCCCCTCACCTCTGCTCCACCCCCCTCCTCCACCTGTAGGCTCAGACAACTCCTCTGTGCTCCCCGAACCACTGCCTATGACCCGTATTTCAGTCAGTAGCCCTCCCTCCCCAGCCCTGACGTGTTGTTCATTGATCCAGAGCACTAGTTTCTTGGAGTCGATTCCAGTGACCCTGACAATGGAGCCCAAAGACTGGATCAGCACGGGCCTGGAGGATGAGGCGGGCAGTGTCACAGTGCCTGATTCAGTTCCTCAGAGGCAGGGTCATGAACGAACGCGGCCGCTCCAGGGATTTGAAGTGGAGTTGAGGAGAAAGCCAGCAGAGGGCTTTGGGTTTGTTATTGCTTCTCAGGATGTGGAGAATGGCAAAGGTGAGAGCCAACGAGTGACACATCGTAGATTACGCAGCATCAGTTAAATGTTTCTGTTCCAGGAGAACCATTTGGTTACCTGCCCACAAAAGCAGGTTTCATTTGGATGCCCTTGTGGACAGATGCACCATTAAGTAATGAGAGATTAAAAAGTGGTCACATGGCCACGTGCCACCAGATGAGTCATGATGCACTCTTTTCTGGTAAAAGGAGTTTTTTTCCAGGTTGGTTTTATTAGCATTGCTGAAGGAAATCAGTTTTGGCATCTACTGTTTTTAATGACTAGTTCAACATCGAGTGCATTTATGCAAAGATAAATGAAAATGTGTTACCCATGAGATGTTTGGGTCTAACAGCATTTCTTTTCATGAAACATCTTACCACAAAAATGAAAAAGTCCTTTACACAAAGCTGTATATCTGGAGCTCATCATTTCAACCTCTTTTCAATGTCATTGTTGACTGATGACTTAATTAAGTCACCTGGAAAAGCATTAACAAACAATAGCAGCATTTACTTTTGTGGTGCAAGTAACTAAATGTTGCTTCTCCAACCACAGAAGGATTTAAAAACAACCAGCAGTACTTTAACCTCTATTTTCTAACACACTGGAAGCTAGGTAAGAGACCTGAGTCTCTGGATGACCATTCTCTAATTTTATAGGGTCTTAAAATGTCTCATGTTTTGCTTTAGACATAAAAAACACAAGCATGTTTGTGCATTTGTTCCCTTATAAGACTTTCTTTCTGTTTATCTGCGTGTGAATTGCCTGCAGCTGTTCCTGTACCAGCACCTCTAAAGCTAACTAATTAGTACTTTACATATCTCATTTGTTGAAAATACACTTAGTAGTTTCTGTAGGGTTATGTGCTGGACTATTTCTTGGCTGGGTGCAATAACATCTTGAAGTTTCAGGTGCCTTATGACTTCATGGTGACATCAACACTCCAGGAAGTCACTACTTCTGGCAAAAAATAGTCTGGCACATAACCCTTCATAAACTACAGCAGGTCATTTTAACACCTAGGTTTTCGTGTTGATTCAACAAAGAAAATGTATGTATTAATTAGTAAGATTTAGAGGTGCTGGAAGGCAGATTTTGTGGCACAGAGCTGTTTCCCCCTGTTACGCTTAGCTAACAGGCTGCTGGCAGTAGCTTCATATATACCACACAGACATGAGAGTGATGTTGACCTTCTCAACTCTCTGCAAGAAAGCATATACCTTGTTTCTATAAGCACTTTATATGTGTCAGTGTCCTTTTTAATTTAACTTGTGACCTTTTGTGTAAAGTATCGTGTTATCATATCAGTAGTGTCTCTCTCTGTTCTGACAAAGAACACTGATGGTTTGTTTATGTTCTGTCCAGGAAGCAAATACATCCTGTTCATATTAGCTTTTTACTGTATTGTTTAATGAATAGTGGGTTAACCACAGTATTCCCATGATGCATTGCCCTCTCTCTCTCTCCCATGCCTTGTACTTGCTCTGTTCCAGTTTGATGCATTTTAATTTGCTTTATGGCCCGAGCGAACACATGTTTATGTTTTCATGGAGAGATTCAAGTTGTATTTGTCTGTGTGGTACGGAGACATTCCCTCCCTCCTCGAAGCTCCACCTCCACCGTGTCCTCATTCTCCCCTTCATTTCACTCCTTTTGACTCACAGAAAGAAGTCTCTCCATGTCTCCCTTGTCCTCTATCATGTCCTCTTCCAATCTCTTTCTTTCTCTTCCTCTCATCAGTCTTCCTTTCCACTGCTCTTCTCTCTCTTCCTCACAAGCTTCCGCCCACTGTCTTTCCCTCTCTCACACTCCCTTTTACTCTGCAGTAAAAATTGTCCAGTCTGTTTTTTTAGAAGATTAAAAACTCTCACTCTCTCTCTATCACTCCCTCCCTCCTGCCTCCTGCTCTCCCCCATCACTCTCTGGCTGCCTAAGAGAAATGCTACACAGAGGTGCAACAGAGGGGACAAGTCTGTGTTTTAGCCCCAGTTGACCGGTACATGTGGATCTCAGCACAGAATAGAGTAGAATTTTTTTTGTTGGTCCGTGTACACTGATCAGTGAGCCATGCTGGAGAGACTACAGTCGGCGCTGAAAACTGTGAAGGAGTCTAAACGTAAATATTTACTGCAATTTTAATTTTACGTTTATGGGGAGGAGACTGCTCCACATGCCACATTTAGCTTTGTCTGTGATGGTGATGGATGTTTTCAGGTCTGTGCTGCACTCTGACGTTTGCTCACTCGGATGTGCTGACTTTGCTGCTGTTGATGTCAGCTGATCAAACTGTGATAAAAGTGTATTATGGTTGCAGTTACACGTGCTGGTGATTGCAGAGACAACGACAGATGAAAGAAAACAGAACATGTTGTCGGACACAGCCAGGCTTAAAGCAGCAGATGACGTGATGTGGCGATGTGCTAATGGTCTGTGTGTTACAGTCAGATAGTAGCAGTGCTCCTGCCTCTGGTCTCCGACATGTAGTATGCATCTGCAGGCTGCTGTGGGAGTGTCTGCATGGGCCGATGCATCTGGGCTGCAGAGGGGGATGTTACAGTGGTGGGGACTGAGCAGTGATCAGTACAGCGCGTCAGAGGCTGGCTGGCTGCTGGGCATACCGCAGCGGGATTACTCTGGACAGGAGAACACAGCGAGCCAGAGGAAAAGACACTACAATATAAAGTAGTCCATTTGGATGCATCTGTTTGTGGTTTTAGCGCGTGTTTGTGCATGTGTGCCTGAGTACATCTGTCCTAATCCCTCTGCGTAGCTGTGTGTGTGTGTGTGTGTGTGTGTGTGTGTGTGTGTGGGACCACTGTTGATGTTAGACCACTGCGTTATGCATGATAAGAAGACTATTTGCAAAGCTGCCTTGGCTTTGGTTTGACCCGATTGCCGTTTCAGCTTGGCTCACCCAGATTAGGCCCAGAGCTTGTGCTCCATTACAGTTTGTTCTGGGAGAGAAAGACAAATCACTGGGCAGCAAAGAACAGCTCCCGATGGAGAGATGTGTCGACAGATGGAAAGATGAAGGAGAAGAGGAGAGTGTTTCAAGGAGACAGTGCAGGAGGTAGAAAGAAAGGTTTCTGTGGAAAGTAATTTGTAAAGGAAATTCTGCCAAAAACAATCCAAAGCTTAATTAGAGCTTGTTTTAGGAAATGTGGTACGCACATCAGTGATATAAATCTTCCTGCTTTTAAACTGATGTACATTTGACCCCTCTTATTACAAACTGCCTTCAATTAAAAGGACAGTTTTGAGGCTTGATGTAGTTTTGTGTTCCAGCTGCAACTTCACTCGTGTTTGATACGAGCTGCTCAACAACTAAATTGGGGAACAAGCCATTTAAGGTAGTAGTAAGCAACAGTTTGATGTCTTTTTTCCTCTCTGCAGCTGCTTCTCTTCTCCCTCATCGGTTTGTGACTGTCCGTCGAGGCAGCCCAGCAGCCAAGAGTGGGCAGATCCGGCCCGGAGATCGATTAGAGGCAGTAGAGGGACGCTCAGTGGTGTCTCTGCCTCATCGGGAGCTTGCACAGATACTGCGCCGAGTGGGGAATACTATACGCCTCACCGTTGTCCCTCGTCCCAGCACCTGTAAGCTTAGACCAAATAAATAATAATAAACAGCCTTCCTTAATTCATAGTCTGAACTCAAACTCTCTCTCTCGTCCAGACTCTTCAAGCCTTTCAGAAACAACTGAACATGACCCTGGTCAAAGAAGCAGAAAAGCTCTGAAGTCACGTCCAAAGGTAAGGGCACAATCGTCGGCTCATCCTATCCACTGCCAGGAAATGATTTTCTCAGGTGATTTATCAGCCTTTGTTCTCACCCTCTCTGCCGTTGTCTCCCAGCGTGACTCCAGGTATTACAGTGTAGACCTGGACCGTGGCCCCTCAGGCTTCGGTTTCAGCCTCCGAGGGGGCAGTGAGTACAACATGGGCCTCTACGTCCTGGGACTGATGGAGGGGGGGCCAGCCTCACACAGTCACAAAATGCAGGTGTGTATTTCACAGTTTGCCCATATACATCTATTACTCTTCATACTCTTTTACTTTAACTTATATCTGTTATTCTCTGCATTTGAGTGGCCCATGCATCTTCTCTGTCTCAGTGTTACTGCTCTGTGTATTTGTACACTTCCTTAAGCCTTTATTTGATTCATTCACATCAGTATTTCCAGCACACATTTGTTTCTATCAAGATTTATTAATAACAGGTAACTTGTAATGTAACATGTGCTTCTAAATACAAAAAACATGTAGCGCTATGATGTTTCTAAAAATGTGTTGTGATTAGTTTGTTGTTTTTTTTTTACTGAAACTGAAAACACAAGTTAAAGTTTTGAAAAAATGGTATGTATTCTTAAGTGTAAAGTGTGAGTTTACTCAGATAATGTGCTTCATCAGGACTTTGTGAAAGAGGTTTGACAAAATTTTATTGGTACTGGCCTGTTAACTTAAGTAAACAACCCAAACCAGTGAGAAAAGGTTAGACAGGAGTCTCCTGTGAAATAACTGCTGTAACGTTGGTAGAAACTTTAGGGTTCGTGGAGGAGCATGGTAAGAAGTGAACGTAAAGAGGCTGTTTGAATGTGTCCAGCTTTCGTTTATGACCCAGTACCTGCAAAATGTATTACACTTTGATCAAGGGTACTTTTTGATAAATGAACTAGCAAATGTTAGCATGCTAACACACTGAACTAAGATTGTGAACTTACTGTATATGCTGAATATCAATATGTGAGCACTGTCATTATGTGCAATTTGCCACGTTAGCATTTAGCTAAAGTCTCGGTTCCTATTTCACCAGTGAAGGTCTACCTGTCATTTGGTGACTTCAGTATAATTTTGACTTGACTTAATTGTTACAATACGGAAAAGGACAGATGTAAATAACAAAATGAATGATGGTTGAATGACATTTAGCTGTGATGCGTTCAGGGTTCTGGCTTTGTGCATTACTGATACTTTGTACATGCTTTTCCTATTATGACAAGTTCAAAAATCTGCTGTTAAAAAAAGACACATCTGAGTAACTGTTACAGCATCATTGTACTGAATGTTCTACTGTTTACAACTGCTTACAAAGTGTTGTTGCTGCAGGTGAGCGATCAGCTGGTGGAGATCAATGGGGACAGTACAGCCGGGATGACCCACAGCCAGGCTGTTGAACAGATCCGCAGGGGAGGCCATCGCATCCACCTGGTCCTCAAGAGAGGAAACGGCTACGTGCCTGACTATGGTAAGACACAGGTGCGGGGTCTGTGTATTATATGTGTTAAAATGTGTCAGATTTAAGACATAAAACATAAAAAAACAAGGAATCTACGCCTTTGACAGCTTCATGCTGAAGTGCGTTAGTCTTCTCATTAAACCGGCAATCGGGCGATGGCGGGGTACACCCTGGACAGGTCGCCAATCCATTGCAGGGCTAACACAGAGACGAACAACCACACACACGCACACACACACACACTCCTATGGGCAATTTAGAGACACCAATCAACCTAAGCTTCATGTCTTTGGACTGTGGGAGGAAGCCGGAGTACCCGGAGAGAACCCACGCAAGCACGGGAAGAACATGCAAACTCCACACAGAAAGGTCCCGGGTGGGGCCCGAACCCAGAACCTTCTCGCTGTGAGGCGTGATTACATTTAATTTCCATTTAAGACATGAATGCTTTATTAAGCACTAAAAGTCCATAAAAACAAATAAAAACACAATACAAATCAGTTAAAAAGAAGGTAAAAAAATATACAAAACACCCAAAGTACATCTCCAGTGCTGCCAGATGGAGGAGGAGCACCTCATGTCACTCAGGCTAAGCTCCACCAAATGCATAATTAAGACATTCTCAGAATCGGACAATCTGCACATAAAACCAAACATATAACTGAGCAGTATAAGAAGAAGTACAATAAGATTTAAACAACTAAAACTTCACAGCATCAGTGCAGTTCCCAACTGATGCAACACATCATCATTGTCACTAAGATTATTCCTAATAATGTGGCCCAGATACTAAAATGATAATTACCCAATCAAATGCTTTTGATGCATCAAGAAAAAAAACAGGGAAACTGTGTGTTTGACATGCATTTGTCTTTGGTCTGTGGTCTCCTCTCTTCTATTTCTGTGGCATTGATTCTAACTAAACTATTTTCTACCTTTTTACTCTTTCTGTTGGGGTACTTTCCTTTTTAACCCATCCACATTTCTGGTTAATTTGATCGTTTTTCCTTTTAACATACCCACCCTACATTTTCCCTCTCCACTGGGTCTGTCTCATTTCCCTCCCATTTTCCCCTCTTTGACACTTTCTCCCAAACATTTCTCTCCTTTCTGCTCCACTGCTTCCTTTCTCTTCTATTCCTCTCTTGTCTCTCTCTCAGTGGAGCTCTCCAGTTTGTCCCTATGTATGACCAACTCCAAGCTAGGCGAGCCCTGCTTCTATGTCATTGGACGGACAGAGAATACGCGGTTGGTAATGGTTCCTGTTAGTTCTCCCATTTTCTGTCTCTCTACATTGCTCTACTCAGTCATCACTGCTGTCTGCACCTGTAGTGAAGGAAGCCTGTGTGTTGGACCTTAATGTAGAAATGTGTATTATCCTTCTTGCCCAGTTTAGCTTCCCTCGAGCCTACCTCTGAACAGAATTTACAAGCTCCACAATTTGTTAGCAGAATAATTTAGCATAGAAAATTGCATACTGATAATCAGATATGTGTCGTATCTCTAATGAAGGGTTATGCAAAGGTTGCACTAAAGCAGAAAAGTAACTGTTGTTACACAAGCTGACCTAATGCACCTCTTACAGAAGTAGTCCCTGAATTTCAGAGCTCTTTAATAACAGGTTACGTAATGCTTTCTGCCAGAGATTTAGCTCTTTCTCTCTCTTACCGGCCTATTCATTTTGCACTCTCTTCCTCTCTGTTCTCCCTCCCCATGTAATGTGCATCCAGGCCGTAAGCACAGAATTGCCTCCCCCTCCCTGCTGCAGCACCCCAAGGAGCAGGGTTTGGTTGCAGTAGACTCCACTGGGTGGAGGGGGCGCAGCTCCAAGCAGAAAAGTAGAAGCAGGTCTTCAAGTCACATGAAAGGAAAAGAGCCAAGAAGGAGAAGACGACGACGACGAGCCTCAGGAGGAGAGAGGAGCCCGGGTTTACAGTCCCCCATCTCTGAGCAGGGAGCAAGATCTCAGGAAGCCAGGGGAAGGAGAAAAAGAGGGTTTCAGAGTTTACCTAGAGATGACCTCAGGAATTATGATGATAGTGACTTGGAGCAGGGAACAGAGAGTGGAAGAAATAGGGAGAGGGGGAGGAGTAGAAGGAGAGGGAGAAAAAGCAGGAGCGAGGAGAGGGTGAAGACCACAGAGGGTGAGGAGGAGTCTGTAGGACCTGCTGATGAGAAGAGGGTGGAAGAAAGGGCTGAGGAGGTGCAGCAAGGAGTGAATGTAGAGAGAGAAGAGAGTATTATCCTACCCATTCCAAGTCCAAATCGAAAGCTTCCCAGACCCAACCAGAAGTTGGAGGTGACGTCTGTTGTAAACTGGGACATAGCAGCAGAGTACAGGGAACTGAGGAAAGAGATGGAGCCGGACAGTGAGCAGGAGCCGGACAGGTCATGGGATAGTGACCGAGGTGAAATTATAGAGACAGGGCTGAATGATGATGAGAGAGGCGATGGCGCACAGAGCAGGTACATCGAGAGGCCTTTACCAAGTGTGATAGATCTAGTGTCACAGATAAGGAACTTCTCCTTCCTCTCCCCAGCACTGTCCATAGAGCAGCTGGTGGACAGTGAGTCAGAGCCTGAAGGCAGCCAGTCTGACAGCAGCGTGTCCGCTGACACTGTCTCAAGCCTTTCTCTGCCTGCCATTGAAGAGGGCGAGCACAGGGCGGCAGCACTGCCAGGCCCTTGGCTCAAACCCAGCCAGCAGGGGGCGGCTCAGGTTCTAGAGGGGAGCAGGCGGACAGGGCCAGGGGAGGGAGAAGCGCTGTCTCGTGACTTTTGACAGGATAGAGCATGCAGCAGCTGAATGATACTGTATCAGATCCTGCTACACTGTTAGACCTTGACTCGATTTCTGCAGCTACCCACACTACCAACATTTCCTCTAAGCCACTTTGATATCTCCAGTAGTATGAAGTCATATTCTTTGTGCCTTTTTACTGTTGACTTCTGGCTGGTGTTAAATATCAATGTCACATTTTAACTCACCATCATTTCTTTTTTGCTGGTCAAACAGCAATGACTTGTCTTTGTTTCTGAGATACTCTCTTCATATTGGACTCCCCTCATTAACATTTGATAGACGTTTCCAGGACAACAAGGTATTTCTCTCACTCACTTTACTGCTTCTCTTTGGCTACTTCACCAGTGTCGTGTCCCCCCCCCACTGTAAAAAGACTGCATAGACATTCACTTATACCTCATGAAGATACTAAGCAATAATAATCAATGCAACTATCCAAGACTATCAGCCATCATGTCCACTGCACCACAGCGGAAACAGTGTAACATGTTTGTTCCTTATCGTCTTTGTCTTATGTGGACACTTGCAACGACTTGTAATGTTGTTATGTATAACTGAATATTTGATTGCGATAATGCAAATCCCTTTTGACAGCAGGTGTGAAATCTATACTCTGTAAATATTTGTAGAGAAATAAATGAACCTATTGTAAATACTAAGCTAACTGGAGCCAAGCCCTGATTTGTATTACTGAAGTGTAATACATAATGATAAGTCTATATAGGCTAAATAAATATATGCAGTATATCTATACATTATACTCAACAGCTACCTGTTCATATGATCAGTTATTGTGTGATGAAAAATAATGTGAAAATTGGTATATACAGCTCAAAATGTAAACACAGTCTAACAACAATATTGTACCTGTCCTATTCATAAATGAATGTTTTGTAATGTTCTGCTTGAGTGTGGATTAGGATACTTGGTGGTACCCTACGTCAGACGTCAGCAAAAGATGCCAAAAATATGCATCCGGTGTGCATATTTCAAGTACTGTTAATATCGTGTATGTGAGGTTAGTACAAAACCACTGTCTGGAGTCTAGAGCGTGCTGTGCTCATTGTGCCACGTACAGTTGCCTTGGTAACATAAACTACTTTATCATAACCACAGATTTTTCTTACTGTGAAAACCCTTGCTCTGAGGTCTCTGATAAAAGAGGTGGGCAGGCCATTTAGTAATTTTAGTCATGCCAAAAAAGGGCCCCTGCTGTAATTCCACAAAAAATAATAAGTCTCTGCAGAATTTGAGCTCAGTGTTGAATCTGCAGTGCAAAATCACACACCATTTTATTTTCCTCTTTGTTTTATTTTTAATTCTGTTATGGAAAACCAGAAGCCAAGCTGAATGGATACTGTGAGATGTTATTTTTCTATGAAATTATCTTTTTTGAAATACTCAGGTTTTCAGATACTTTGCTCTAGATAGGCCATTAGGAGGCAACGCTGCAGAGGGACTTCATTTTCATAGGGCAGAGTGGATTATTTAAATGTTAACTCAGCATCACTTTTATTCTTAATGGCAGCACTTGGAGACACAGACTGTTAAACCTCTTTTTTACCAGTCCATAATTATCTAAAGGTCGACGCTCTAAGTGAAGCCATTCCTTCGTTTGTACCCATCACGAACAAACCATAAGACTGAAAAGAACTGCTTGGTGCGCTCTGCCCAGTTTTTTGCATTGCTGTGCTGCCCAGAAGTGGTAGTGCTGTGACCAACCCAACATACTGTAGCCTATTCCCCAAACAATAACCATAGAGAGTAGCTAGGTACTCGATGTCAGACTTATTTTATAATGTTTGCTAATGTTCTTTCTTTAGACTTTAATTTCCTAAGGGGTTATATGGCTGTAAACTGTAAACACATTCTCATAAAACTGCAAATAAAGTGCTGAAACTATTTCCTCGGTGGTCTGGCATGTCTATCTTTTATTGCTTTTTTTGAACACTGGAAGAGCCACAGTAATGGACAGCAGATGGCAGCAGAATTATAAACTACAGCAGATTTAGGGGACATGGGATTAGATGTTATGAAATCACACATCATTTTATTTTCCCCTTTTTCTTTTTAATTCTGTTATGGACAGCAGGAGCCAGGGTGAATGGATACTGTGAAAGGTTATTTTTGAAATACTCCGGTTTCAGATTTTTGCTCTCGCAGAATATTTCACAAGACAATAAAATGTGTACAACACTAAGATGAGAGGAAAAACATATGATCACTTCCGAGAGATCAGTTATTTACCCTGCATTTTGCGTTTCCCAAGTGTAATATGAGTTTCTTATAGTGCACATCAGGAGCAGCCTCCTGTGTGAGGTTATACACAGAGAGAAGCGGGTGGATTTATAGCGTCTCTGTGCAGATATGATCACTTAAGTACTGCCACTAAAAATAACATGAGGCTCTGAGGCCTGTCTCTCTCTCTCTCCCGTGCTGTTCTAAGCCTCATCCTTCTGTTCAAGTCATAGCAGACGCAAAATAAAAAAAATAAAACACCAATCTTCTGTATCGCTGCAGAAATAAGAGCTCTGCTCTGGGTTCAGCTGCAGGAGAAGATCAACTTTAGAAGTGGACATCAACTGTTCAAACGACTTCAAATCAAGCTTTCGAATTTCGGTTGCAGAGACATGTTGCAGATGACTGCCCACACTAGAGGGGATTGTGTTGCAATGTGTAATTGTTTTCTACTCAGGATTCATAGGCGCTCAACAGGGTTCGTGGAGTGTGTGATGTTACCAAGACGCAAGTCTGGTTGTACCTTCAAAATAAAACATCGTCCGCTACACGTATTTATTCAACAAAGTCAATTTTCACCAGCACTTTGGATGAAAATTGACTTTATATAATTGTAAGTGACTATAATTCAAAGTTTTATCTTAAAGAGACCACATACAATAAAACAAAAGCAAACAAAGCCACTTAGTGGAGGAGGAGTCAAGCCATTTAAACATTTACAAGACATAAACATGAGTATAATCTAAAATTTTCAAAGCTCTTCTTTTACAGTGATGATTTTTAATTGGATTTTTAAAGTTTGTTTGTGGGGGATTTTCTCAAATTTCTAAAATATGTTGAAATCAGTATCTCTGCAACCATTATACATGTAAATACATAGTCTGTGGACTGTAATTTATACTGTGAGCCGTGTGATTTGGGATAAGTCAGTTTAGTTTTCTTCTGTATTAGACATAAGCTACAAATATTCTGGTGCACTAATGATGGAATGGATATTCAGATGTTAGCAAGGTTTGTCTCAGAAGCTTGGAAAAGAAGGCAGGGTCATTTATTGTAACCAGTAATATATTCACCAGTATTATACAGCGCCTGGATGGATTAACTTACTGTGGGCTGTGGGCCCCCATGTATGTAACACGTCACCTCTGAGTAATCCGTTTTATTTAAAAGAATGCACCACCTGAAAACAAAATTAAAACATATCAGAAAGTATTAAAACAGTAATTAATGGCCTAATTAAATTGTTACTATTATAATTTAATTTGCAGTTAATCTTATTACCATAGGCTACAGCCCTGATGGTAACTGCCCTGAGTAGTCTGCACATTTTATCAGAGATTTATATATTTTGTTGTATAAAGGTTGGAAAATAAGCGATAGCAGCTTATAACAACACAGACATTATGGCTCGGCCTTCTTCAGTGTGCAAAAAAAAAAATCATTCAGCTTTCATAACACTATTTGAAATGTACAGTGCAGCTCTAGATCTGGTTTACAGCCTATGGTTTGTGGTGTGCCATGCAGACTGAATGACAACGTGATATAAACCTAATTCATTTAGTCCTTAATTGGTTGTTTTCTTGTGTTTGCATGAATATTTTCCTGCAAATGCATTCTTTGTTTTCACCTGCATTCATTTAGATTGTCGTTACTTCATGCCTGAACGTTACTCCTTTATTTTGAAAGTGTTTGTCGGAAGTAATGGTTCACTCTGACTAACTTGACAGCGATGCGCTCCAGAGGAAAAGCCGCCTCATCGCTGCAGATCACACGCGCAAAGAGCGAAACCTCACCATGCTTCTGCGCCACCGCAAAGGAGATTCACCGCAAACCTCCGGTGGTGGATTACCGAACTGATACAACGGAAACTCGTCTCAGATAAGTAGGAAAAAAATATCATCCTGCTTGTTTAGACTGATTTCAGATCAGCGTCGAAAGCGGCAAAGCGTAAAGTCCAGTTTAAAGATTTGATGCAGCCTACTGAGACTTTGGTGCGCTCAAAAATATTCCGGATTGTTGGTGGCACTTAAGAGGTGTCAAGTCTTATCTCAAGGATCAGTCTTTGTGAATGCACGACCTGGAAATAAACTCTACATTATTATTGGATGAAAAAGCCCGTAGACGCACACTGTGGGAACTAATCTGAATTTAGAGCACAGGCATGTAGTTTTGGGGGGAGCAGAGGGGAGGATTTGGACTTCGAGAATGAACTTCTGCTTACTTTCTGTGCTGTAAGACACATCAAGCCATGGGTTGAAAGAGACGATGATAGGCTGCGGGGATATTCAACGTGGGAGGGAGCAGAATTTTCTGTGTTATGTAATGATTGACGGTGCCTGATAATTAGGGGTAGATTTAACAAGCATCACCCCTCCCATTACCCCATCCCCCTTCCCCTGTATATCGAGGAGACCCGAGAACGGCTGATGCATGTGAGATGTCTTTAACTAAAATCTAATCTCAGAGGTCTTAAAGTAACTGAGCAGGATATGTCACAGGTCAGTTGGTACATTCATATTCTACTTGCTCCTCTCAGAGAGTCACCAAGGCAAGCTGAAGCTGACTGTAGATGTTTGAGCAGCCACATTTAGAAAACACACCTACCTTCCCCTCCCCCCCCAGCCACAGTTTGTTTTTAAAGCTTTGGTTAATAAATTAAATCATGATGCTCCAAAGTCTGGAACTGCTCCATGTTGATTTGGCATGGACTTACAAGATGGCTGTGACTTCAGGAAATCATGCAGTCATCTGTGTCTTGAGCTTCTTTTTGAGCTTTGCACTCTCTTATTGGCATCACAACATTTTTAATGGCTACTAACATGCTATAATGCTCATTTCTACCCTCAGCTTTGGGGATATGTAGTCACTCTGAAAATCTCAACCTCCTAATCTCTGTGACTTCCTGTTTCTGAACAACTGACGCTCATAGTTCATCTTCATCTGAGCCTTCGTTGGTCCCTCCCTCCCCCCCACTCATCAGGGCTGGTGGGGGGGGTGGATCTCGGCCCTACGGGGTCAAAACTGTGGTGGTGGCCGGTGGTGGTCATACCCTTAGAGGCAGGGTTTCCACCATGGAGACCAGCCCAGAAAGCCCCAACCGGGCAGTGGAGTACCTGCTGGAGCTTAACAACATCATCGAGAGCCAGGCCAAGCTCCTGGAGACCCAGCGCCGCCGCATTGAGGAACTGGAAGGCCAGCTGGACCGGGTCAGCCAGGAGAACCAGGACCTGAGGCTGGAACGCAACCCACGGACACCTGGTCCAGACACCTTGGAGCAGAACCACAACCACAACCAGCCTCTGTCCCTCCCCATCCATCATGGCAGCGGTGGTGGCGGTAGCAGCGGGAACGGTAGCACCTCAACAGCTCAGGCGGCAGCCGGATCAGCCACAACGCCAGGGCCAAGCAGGGAGAGGAGGACCCACATCAGACTGACACGCGGCCTCTCCTGTGGCTCCTCCACCACAGACCGAACGCTGGAACGCACCGACAGCACAGACACCAACACCAGTTCCACCTTACGCAGGAAGTAAGTTCTCCTCTAACACAGAAGATAAATCGGTTTGATTTTCTGCCTATGAATGATAATATGTGTGGCTGCATCATATTACAGGGGTGTCAGTAATCTTTTCCAAGTCACTCTAAATTATAGCAGCAGCCACAGTCTGCATAGTATCTTTAGTGTGACAGAACATTCATATGCTAAGCCCACATAATGACAGGCTCTGTAGAGCTGCAGCCTCTCTAGTCATCAGAGATCAGTTTTGCAGTAATGGCACCAAACCAAAGAAGTGATATTTTAATGCACCACCATGAGAAAACATGCAAAATCCTGGAGGATTATGGGTAGAGTGAGTCCTCAAGGTGGCCATTCCATCATATTGTGTGTAATATTGTCTGCAGAGGGTTTAATTTATGTAATGATCCTACGCATGTGAGGTGCGTAGGAGTTGCATAGTAGCATGCTGAGGAAAACTCCAATCCAGGCAGGATATGGGTTATGGGTCTTTTTTATGGTGAATCTGAACTTTCTGGAAAGTGAAGCCCTTCTGTATGAACACACACACATGAAAAAAAATCCACCCACTGTTTGCTATAAGTGTGTTTTTTTTTTCCTCTGCACTCCGGCTGGTTGGTCTCAAAGAGAGAGTCAAAACTCAAGGTTGGCCTGAAAAGTTAGAGCGCTGCCAACACAACTTTGGCAAACAGCATCTGTCCTTGCTTTTACCACACACAGTGAGAGAGAGAGAGCCGCCTTTTGTTTTGAAAGCTTTAGGCTTTGTGAATAAGTGGTCTTATACTTGTACAGCGCCTTTCTAGGCATTGCGGTGCACACAAAGTGCTTTCACACTGTTTGGCCATTCACACTCCTAAGGGTCATCACTGGGAGTTCAGTCTTTTGCTCAAGGATACTTCAACACGTGGATGGACAAGCTGGGAATTGAACCGCTAACGTTCCAGTTAAGAGATGACCCGCTCTACCCCCTCAGCCACAGCTGCCCCCGAGTCACATGAAAAAGTGAACTATATTGAAATATACTGTTGCAGCAGCCTTAGTGACAGAAGCCACTGGCATTTGTTCAACTCATCTCAGTAACCGTTGCTGGGTTTTACTCACTATCTTTATGGTTCCATTCAACTTATGAATGATTGATTCAGACTTTACCAAATCCCTAATCAGCTGCAGATGTATTTTCCTCTGCTATCTCTGCTCTCTGGCCTCCTTCCCCTCAACCCTGGGGGTGATGTAGTTGTTAGACCAAAACACATATTAGTTATTTATGTGGGTGTTAAATACAGTGCTGAATTGCAAATGTAGGTCTTGCTGATCCTCCCTTGGTAGAAGTTGTGGCTGACTTTGGATCCAGACTCAGACAAGCATATCATATGAAGTGTCACATTTCATAAAGAGCCACCTGCCTAGTAGCGCCATGTTGCCCCTCTCTGGCTGTGACTTAGTCAAACCTGAAACTGGCCTATTAGCATGGGTCAGCAACACAACCCTCTCCTCTGATAATGGACAAGATACAAACACAAATGTTTCCATCATCAGCGCCCATGACTCTTTACATATGGCTCCAATTAGAGGACGAGACAGAAGGAAAATGTGGGAGAGGGATGGGGAGAGAAAAAAGGGGCGAAGTGACTGAACGACCTGACTCAGCATGTCTTAGTCTAAAAGGGAAAAGGTGGAACACACACACTGATTTGCCATCTGTCAACAGGGTATGTAAGCGAGGGAGGGAGCGATGAGAGGGGAGCTTGAACCAAAGAAGGCTCCGAGAGCTGCCTTTGTTTTTGTCCAATTAGTTTTGGCTCCTGCAGCAGAACTCCTCATCTCTGCCCTGTGCTCACATCACCACAGCTTTGATTTTGAACGGAGAAACCAAACAAGGAATAAACCTTCCCTGTTTTTAGCTATAAATGCAGCGACTGCATCAAAAGAAAGTCGCTCCTCTCCTCTTTTTGTCCCAGCGGTATGTCGTAAACAGCTGCCCCTCATGCTGCCCTAATTCATCCCTCTCTTCCTGTTAATGGCAGTGTGAACCATGTGAGCCTGGGGCCTTGGAGTGAAATGATATTTAGTGTCAAGTCCTTCTTTCAAGAAACAGCAGGGCTGAGGGCACTAACACAGCTTGTGGCAGCAATGCTTTTTTTTTTGTTATTTTGGAAGAGGTCATGCTAGTGCATTTTGTACAAACCTGGGTGTGTGTGTGTGGCAAAGTGTGTGTCTTTATGTAATGTATGTCCTGGTGTGAGTGCACAAAAATGTGTGAAAGAGGGAGGGAGGCACACGAAGCCTGCATGAGATTAGTGTGGCCAGAGTATAATTAACATTGACCCTGGTGTATAATTACTGCTGAGCCTATATGTGTGTATGACTGGTGTGTCTTTTTTGTGACTGTGTATCTGTGCACTGTAAGGGATCACCTGGGATGTCCATTATTAGACAGTCTGCTGCATGGACTGTCATGCTATGATGATGTGACACTTCTTGGCGCCTGGGTGAGAGACTGGATCCTTCGTTAAGTGCTGCATACATGCAGCTGCGCTCATACAGGGTGAGAGGCAGGGTCAGCTAGAGGTCTTAGTGACAGCCCCGGCGGTGCTGAAACTCAGAGCAGTAGTATTACATAATGGCCTAAAAAAGGAGAGCTATCTTTTCCCCTTCTTCACTTCGCCCTCACAGTGAGAGTCTTCAGAAGCTCTGTGAAGGTGCTTGTGTCTCTGTTCATCTTGTCTGCTCCATCATTCCTCCACCTATCACCCTCTCCACACAGGGCATCGTGGGCATTCTCTGTTCATCTTGTCTGCTCCATCATCCCTCCACCTATCGCCCTCTCCACACAGGGCATCGTGGGGGCATCGTGATCCTGTCTCTCTCTGAAATTGACGTTAATTCTGTTTGGGGAATATGGGTGGCAGTAATGTGCTTTTGTTTCTGAAGGAGCTTCATTTGCTAATTCTGTGAAGCTCTACATCACATAACCCATCCCTTTTACAACCCCCACTCCACCCCTTCCCTCTCTCTTTCGCTCTCTCTCACATACCCACGTACACACACTTGCTCTATCCCCCTCGCTGTTTCTGTTTCCCACTGCTGCAGTTATGACTCAGAGAAGCTGCAGAAATTACTTTTGTGCTATTCTCTTTCTCTTCCCCACATTGCTCACCCGTTTCCCCCCCTGCTTTTAACTGGAACACAGTTATTGTTCCTGATTTGGTCAACTGAATATTCTTTTTGTACATTAATAACAAGCTCAAAATATGCAGTAATTGGGGTATTTTGAGTAGGCCTTTACATCCTGTAGTTGCTAGGCTAGTGCAGGTGCAACTTAGAGAAATGAAGTGGCCTCAGGCAAATGTGTGGGTTAGCTCCGCTGAGCCTGTACTGACCTGCCCCACACTGTCTGTGTGATGTGATGGGAGGTAATCTGTTCTCTGTGGACTCACCACGACTTTCTGGAAGAAATACAGGGAAGCTGCAGCTACAGTTTTCTCAAGAACCTGATCTCGCTCTCATTTATATTTTCTATTTCAGGATTAAACAATGTGTAACTTAGGCCAAAGTTAAATTTTCACAAGGCTGCTAATAATTACAGTGATGCAATTTAGCTTGACGTAAATTTAAATGATGGATGTGTATGTGGGAGGGAAATGTATGTGGGTGGTGTTTTTTGCCTTCTACTCGCCAGTTCTGAGTGAAGTGAGTGTTCAAGGCTTCATGCAGTATGAGCAGTGACACATACTTTAAAGTAAGAGTGGCCCAGTGTGAAATGAACAACGCCTGCAATTCATCTCCAGAGCAAACTGGCCCATGGCCTTGGCTCTCACTGCAGATACTCAGCACAATGAGCACAAACTTTCCCTTTTTTATGAACGTATATTAAATGACCAGGAAGAAGGATTCACTGGGTTTACAGTGTGACTGGATATGCTACTGTAGTGTGAGGTTTTACCTTTTTTGAACAGTTTCTTGGCAGCATATACTGCCCTGTACCATTACTGTAATAGATATGGCAACAAAGCAGGAGCTATCATCCCGGCAGGCAGACAGACAGACGTACAGACAGGCTGTGTGACAGAATAAAAACTCATGGTGAGTTGTCACAGGCAGTGTATTGTTATAACCCCAGACACCTGACCTGGTTTCTGTCATTCATAATTTTGCCTACCTGTGTACAGTTATTTTTCACTCACCATCTATCAGAGTGTAACATCTGAACTGACTTTCTTGACACGATGGGGAGACAAAAGAAGCTGTGATGTAAAGTTGTTGTTTTTTTACAGGAAGTGAAACATCCTTGGAGCAGGAGTGCTGTGAGAGATACAGTTGCTGTGGAAACTAAAGCTGTTCTCAAGGCACTTGCAATATTGCGTTTCTATCCAGTATCCTTCCTTCACTGTCTCCACCTGCAGCTCCCCTCACCTATCCAGGGCTCCAATCTTGACATAGCTTCCTCCCCTTTTACTCCTCCTCTTGCCCCCGTCACTTTGGATCAGCCTCCCTTGCTTTCTTTTAACTGGCAGCTGTGTGCGGATAACAGTTGTGTCCGAACAACAGCGGTGGCAAATTAGCAGTCTTGCTTTGTTATTAGTGAGGACGGCAAAGCGCTAAGCCTGCTTGTCCGTTCATCGGTGGGTGAAATGTCCCTGTGGTCAACATTTGATTAGCACAGGTGCATTTTCACAGCCTTTTTTCCATCTGTTACTATGACTTTAATCATTCTTTTCCATTCATATCCAGATGAGTGGCACTTTTGAGGCGGGATGTTTGTCAAACACTTCTGCACACGTTCTGTGGAGCAGAACAGGGAGACTGGTTACCGTGGGAACGCTGTGAGCTCTTCTGTGAAGAACTCTGTGGGCGAGAGACAGAATAGAGGGATGGAAAGAAGAGAAGAGAAGGTAGGAGTGGGAGCAGGAGCAGGGTGAAAGACAGAAGCAGGACTGACTGACGGTCTTCACAGGGTGAAGACAGATGAGTTCTGTAATGTTTTATTTATCACAGGTTAGAAGTTCTCACTC